TGGTATCGGTAGCAGTCGTGGGTGGGGATAGTGATCTATTGTCTGCTTTGGTGGGTGTGATTGTGTCACCTCCGAATAACTCTAGCTGACAGTTCGTCATTACTTGCCGCCATCTTGAAAGGGGTGTGGTTATAAAGTGAGGGGCGGGGTGGTTTAAAACTTACGACTCTAGTTCCGCTTCTGTTTCAGCATCAAATGAGTATACTCTGGTTTCTGTAAAGGATGAGAGGGAGAAATAAGGACAGAAAGAAAAAACAAAATGATACACTATACCACAAAAATAGAGAACTACTGTATAGGTACATCGCACATAATAATAATAATATGGTAATAACAACAATAACAATAATAATTAAAAACCCAGTAATAATGAAAGATAAACTAAACGTCATTACTGCATAGCATTATGTACACCTTCAAACTATAGGATTGTACATGTGCACGTACATGTATATATTGGATACAAGGCACGGTGTACATGTACATGTACATTATAGACATGCAAACATTCCAGTTCGCATATATTTTTATAAGAATAACATAAACAATAACAAATGAAAATAGAGTAAGAGGCATAATTCATATACATGTAAACATCTACATGTATACATACATGTACATATACATGTATATGTACATGTAGTGGTGCATGGGAGAAAATGGTCTTAGAAAGTACATGTATAGGACTGTTAATGTGGTTTCTCACAAAGCATGTTAAGTGAACTTTTAAAGAGGATGCTTCAAGAGATGACTAGCACTACAATACATGTATGTATGCAATAGTATGTGGCTTTTGGAGCAACTTTAAAATTTGTAAAAAATCCAAACTTGATCGGAATGAGCTCAAACTTGATACACAACATAAGGACATGTATATGCATCAGAAAAAATTATAAAAATGAAGAATTCCCTCCTAGTCATTTTTCATAAAATTTGGCCGAAGACCCTGTACTATAGTACAGGGTCGTCGGCCAGATTTTGGAGTAACCTTTAAAAATTCGTAAAAAATCCAAATTTGATCGGAATTGGCTCAAACTTGATATACAACATAAGGACATGTATTTGCATCAGAAAAAATTATAAAAATGAAGAATTCTCTCCTAGTCATTTTTGTCAAAATACCCTGTACTACATATACATGGTGCTATATTTCGTCCAATTTTTGAGCAATGTGACAATTGACTGACAAGAAGCTACATGAGCACTATCCTGTAGGAAGCCTTGACTATACATTGTGCATCCAGGTCATCAAAATAGGAAAAAGACATGTACATGTACATGTACATGCATGTGTTTAAATGCAACATACGTGCTTGAAGTTTAAAGCAGTACTTTCTTCCATCAATCTCTCCTGGATCCTTAAACTGAAACAGCATCACTGGTAT